AAATCCCCGGCCCCCCTCTTCCTTTCTGTGTGGAGCTTCAGTAGGCCTCTCCATGAGTGCTGTCTCTGAGCTGTTCTCTGTGTGATTTGTCACTCACAGTAGGCTCTTTTCTTCCTTATTCCTTACATCTCTCCTAAGTATACCACGAGAAGACTACCTGGCTTTTTGTCCCTAGTGTACTTTGACTCCTCATGAGCCATACTCCTTAAGGAGAGACCCACTTTTGTCCTTTTCATTTAAGAAAATAAGTTTCTTACCTATTGAAAATTTATTATAAGGGCTGGGGATTTAGCTTAGTGGTTCTGCCGCCTGCCTTGCAAGCGCAAGGACCTGAGTTCGATCCCCGGTACCCCCCCCCCAAAAAAAAAGAAAAAGGAAAGAAAATTTATTATAAAAATGAAGAGCTGGTATAGTAATTTGACCCCAAATTTGCAGACATCCCAGTCATCCTTCCTGGGGCCTTGAAAGGTAAAAGAACTCTTAAAAATGTACATCTTGGCCAGAGGCAAGATGGTTTCTGCTGGACAGCAAGACTTATAAACAAAGGTAAAATCCTAATTGATACCCCACAGAAACACGTGAAGTTGGTTTAAAAAGAAAAAATTTAAAACAAGAAGACCTCTAGTGTTTATAAAAGCCTCCAGTAGAACATAGTCCCTCTGCTCACAGAGGGTTCAGACCTTCCTCACTCCAGGAGACACATTATCTTCTGTCCTGATGAGACTTTTTCTGGGTATTTCTTAATTCCATTTTCAAATCAGGGCTAACCTGGAACCCCATAAAATAGCTAGTTCACAAGAGCTAAGCCCATCACCCCTACGGATCTTTACAACAGCCTGTTAGGGAAGGGTTGTTTGCATTTTGTAGGTGAAGAAAGCCACAAGAGGTTAAACGACTTCCCTAAGGTCACATGTAGCTAGTGTATAACTGAGCAAGGTTCCTTCTAGACCCTCTCCACTTGGCAATCTGTCTTCTCTCATGGGGAAGCTGTAGCACCAGGCATTTGCTACAGAAATCCCCTCCTCCCCTTACTGCTTAGAGTTTGAGCCAGCAAAAACTCTCAGGGGCTCCTTTGTTCAAATAGCCTCAGAAAGTTAGAATCCTGGCCTCAGTCATACCAGGCCTCTGCAGGAGCCAGACAGTCTATTGGGAATTAGAGGGTTCAATGGGCTTAACCTGAAGGGAGAGACCTCTGGCAGGAAAGACAATGACAGGAAGGGACAGCGCAAATATTTGGCCTTTGGATATGGTGAGATGAACGCGTATAGAACTTCAGAGGAGGGCAAGAAAGTGTCACTTGGAAGGAAGTTACTGGAAGTTTCCAAAGTTCACTGGTCCTATTGATACAGAAGAAATATAACTCCCAATCTGCTAAATGTCAGATGTGCTCAGTTCATGTCTCCTGAAGTCAAAGAATGAATTCCAAAGGACAATGGAGGTTACAAGTAGGTAAGATTTATTCAGACATAGCTCCTGAGAGACAGGAAAGATCCCAAGTGTGTTGCCAACTGAGGCCCTTTGTCAAGTGTAATTTATACAGCAAAGTTACAATGTGAAACGTGGGTCTAATTATAACCAACCTATAGGATTATAGCAGACCCTTACATTACATTGGTCTGATGTATAAACAACTTGGGTTAATTAGGTTAATGAAGATTCATGTGCCTCTTGTTACCTATAGTGTCCACCCAGGTAAATATCCAGATCTCAGCTCTATTCACTTACAAGCAATTTGAGTTATAACCGGCTCTCAGAAACCAATCAAGTTTGAAAGTCAAGGGTCCATTGTACAAGTATAGCTGCTTAGCCAGTATTGACCTAATAGGGAAGTGAGTCACGTAGTAAGGGAATGTGGAAACAAAGGCATTTTTGGGAAGGGATGGGTCTGGATGCTCTGGTCACCTGACTGGATGACTGATGCCTAACTGGACTTTACTGGACCAGGTGCTACCAATCACAGTACAATCTTAAATTATTGTTTATCCCTCAGGGAAGCATATAGGCCTGGTCACTGCATCTTTACCTGGCAGTGAGAAAGTGAGTGAGTGAGAGACTCCCTTCAAAGCCACCCCTGGTGACTCATCTCAACCACGTGGGCTCCACTTCCTGACAGCACTTTCAGCTACAAACTCACCAATGGATTAATCCACTGATGAACGAGACGCCCCCATAGTCCAATCACCTTCCAAAACTCCCACAAGACTTCTAGGGGCACTTTTAGACCCCAGAAACTATAGCATCATTATCCTCACCTATTTGGGGGGGGGGCTTGAGACAGGGTCTCACTATGTAGTTGAGTCTGACCTGGAACTCACTATGTAGCTCAGGCTGATCTCAAACTTACAGCGATCCTCCTGCCTTAGCCTCCCGAGTGCTGGGATTACAGGTATGTGCCACCATGTCCGCCTGTCCTCACCTATTTTTACACTTGATCTTAGCCAAAAGGCCGAGAAGCGATTCTCACCTATTTTTAAATCCTGTGATTCCATGTATGGGTTGCTTGGATTTAAATCCTGAGTATTTCTCTCACCATATGCAAAGGCTGTGTAACCTTGGAAAATTGGCTTAGCCTCCCTGAATGGTTTTTATTGAGACTGTTTTCCAAAGGTCTTATGCCTTTTTCGAAGAGGATTGGGCCATGGAGTTTGCTATATCTGACTTGCTGATAGGAGGTGGGGCCTGATGGGAAGAGGCATATCACTGGGGTGAGACCTGTAAGGGTATATCTTTCTCCCTACCTACTCCTTCTCTCTTACTGGCCACAATGACAAAAGCAGCTTTCCTCTGCCAAGACCTTGCCACTATGCTGAATATGGACCAAAACTTCTGAAATGTGAGCCAAAATAAACCTGTCCTTCCTTACGTTGTGTCAGTGTCCAATGAGAAATGATTAAGACACTAAGTTTCAGCCTGCAGTGCTGCACCCCAGAAATATGTGATTCATGTAGATCATTTTTCAGTAGCCACATTTCAAAAAAGAAAATAAAGAGAAAGGCAAGGGCCAGGGATTTAGCACAGTGGTTCTGCCGCCTACTTCACAAGCCCAAGGATCCAACTTTGATCCCCGGTACAAAAAAAAAAGAGAGAAAAGTGAAATTTAAGGTTAATACAGTAGTTTATTTAAATCAGTATATCCAAGACATTGCTTCAACATGCAGTTGATATAAAATTATTGATATATTTATATCGTAATAGTTGGGTTCATGAATGATTTTGACTGCAAACAATTCAGTTCCTGAAAAGAAGTGTTCAGCAAAATTTTGCTTTCATTTGGCAACAGTGCATTGGGTCACAAGCATGACCATGGCCATCTCCCCCAGAATCGTGCAATGAATTAAGTTCATGAACCAAGGCACCAATGTATTTGAATATCATGTTCAAAGTCCATGTGTATTTTACACTTACAATACAGCTAAATTGGAATTAAACATATTACCAGTATTACAGGTGGCCAGTGCCTGCCATACTAGACACTTCAGGTCAGTAGGATGGAGGCAATAATAAGGTAGATCTTAGGGTTGAGCAAAATGAAACTCCTACCTTGAGCAAACACGTTTGACCCCCCAAAACTTAGCAATCAAACGACTATCGCATCTTGATAAACATATCATATTAACATTTTATTTACCTTGGTTACTGAAAAGTTGGGGGGGACTTTGTGTTTTGTCCTACAAGACTCACCTCATGCTAATCCTGACTCTGGATAATAAAACCCACCTTGTTAGACTGCTGAGTGAATTAAATGAGTTCCTGGAGATCATTCTGCCTAGGTGTAAGCATTTAGGGCTAGTTTTTATTATCTCTCCCTAGTTATCAGGCAATACTATTAGGCTTTCTGTCGCATAGGGAAAATATTGCTTGAGTTTTAATCTTTTTGCGTGTGTGCGTGCGTGTGCGTGTGTGTGTACTGGGGATCGAACTCAGGACCTTGCACTTGCAAAGCAGGCATGGCACCCCGGCCCTAGTTTTAGTCTTAATATATGATTGTTGTTTTCTGAGATGAAATGAAAGAAATACAAACCTAAGTAAACTGAAATTCTGTAGAAAGAAGAGTGGGGAAGGAACACTTCTGTGGTCCTGCCAATTCTAGCCAGATTGTCCCATTTCACCCCTGCACCAGGCCAGTAGCCACCTAATCAGCTTCTATTCGGATTCAGTCTGTTGTGCCCATCACCAACTACCCAAGCTTTTGACACTCAACAGACCTTACCCCTTGCTGGGCACATGATAAAAACTGGCTCAGAGACATAATTCCTGAGGAGAGTCACAGGATTAAATGACTTCTAGCAGACCAAAAACCAACCTGAATAAAAGGAAAATGAAGATGGACTTGCTATGCATATGGGGTGTGGAATATAATGCACAGTTAGGTAGCTGATCAGATGTGGGGTAGGGTGCAGACAGGCCCTTAAGGAGGCATCCTGGAGGAGGTGACACTCACGCAGAATTCCATCTGCTCAAGAGGTGACCAGTGAGGAGGCGGGAGTATAACGTCTAGGGACTAGGGATTTCCCGTGGCATGACGTCCATTACTCAGGTTCCTGCCTTCACTCTGGCGAGGAATGCAGGGCGGGGGGTTGCTAACAAAGCCAAAGATACCTCAGGTGCTGAACGAGGAACTCAGAAATAAAAGTAACGCAGAAGCATAGGTTTATTCATAAGATAACGAAGATGGAGAAAAAAGCTAAAGAGCTGCCACAAAGAAGGGAGAGCCTGACTGGGCTTCTTGACAGAGATCTTTGCCCTGCCCATTCTTATAGGGATTCTGAACCAACCAGGGTTTCAACCTTTGTGTTGTGCACTGTTGCTAGGATGAGTTGTTGCTAAGGTGAGCTAAGGGACATGGGTTTTTTAGGTTTCCAGGATATAACTGGTTTACACCTGCAAAGGTTTCACAAAGGAAAATTTCTTCCATTGATCAGGTGGTCATCTCTATAACTGCCACGTCAACCATGTAGTCAGCCACTTCGGTCTATGTCCCTGCCTATTTGTCCCTACAGCAGGAAACCCTGTCAGCGGGGTCAGCTGCACACACCAACCCCGAACACGGTTCTCCTGCAGACGTGCCAGGACGGCGAGGGCCGCAGCGGGAAAGAAGCCTCACAAGGCTCACAGCGCCGTCCTCCCTCCCCGACGTCCGCCAGCAACCCGGCCTAGCGAAGAAGCCGCGCCGGGCCCGCGCTCCTCATCTGGAATGCGCCCTCCCGCCAGGCAGACCAAGACGGGGACGAACACGCAAGCCGGGCGCTTCTGGCTACTCGCGTCTCGTAACTTGCTTTCTTTTCAGGGAAATCGGGACACTCCCCCCGCCCGCTACCCCGCACGGCCCTCTCCCCACTTCAGGGTCCCCCACGCCCTGTGACCACACAGAGATAGAAACAAGAGGAAGCGGCTCCCAGAGCCACCCAGGCTCCACGCGCAGAGGCCGCCGGGAGCCCGCGGAGCCACGCCTCCTCGGGGAAGGGCGAGAAATGCAGATTAGCAATGGCGTCCAACGCGGGGGACGCCGGGACCAACAAACGCGGGCGAAGAGTTGGTCCCGAAAACTGCGAGGAAGACGAAATAGGCGTGGAAAGCTGGTGGAGTCCTCCTGCGAGTGAAGGAGGAAAGGAAGTGAGCAGAAGGACTAAAGGTTGGTTTTATGACCGCGCGTTGAATGTGGAGGCAGGGAGGGCAGCAAGACTATGGCTAGACGATGCATTTTTCTTTCGGTTTAAATTAGGTGTAGTGTTTGCTTTTATTTAGTTTAATAAGTTATGTTATCTTGAAGGTTAACTTTTATGTAGTATTTTGTGTGGGAAATATGGTTTGTGGGAGCCAGTCATGGCCCACTGGCGTTCGAGGCATTGACGCAATGTGTGGTCAGGATGTTCCTAGTTAGTATGTGTTAACATTTGTTCCTTTTTAAGGACTGCACGTCTTAAACTTGTTTTTGACCCTGCATGCGAGAAACTCGGATAGCCAAAGATCTGATGTTATCTGTAGGAGTCAGGTGCTTCTTGTTAAAGATCTGACGTTATCTGTAGGAGTCAGGTGCTTCCTGTTGATGTGCCTTTAAAAGGCTGATGCTTGCCTGCCATGAACGTCGCCTTGATCAGACTCTTGTCTTGGCGTCCTTCCTTTCTCTCTGCCCCATCTCCACCCCGCTGCTCTTTCAGGTTTGAGACACTGCTGGACAGTACTCTGCGTCGCCGGCTCGCGACAACTTTGTAGGTATTTTGCAAAGTGAGGTAAACTGGTTTGCTTAAGTATCAATTTGTTACTATAATGTTCCTTAAAACGTATTTCTTGGGCATTAACTGTAGTCTTTAAAAAGATGCGTTTCTTTTTGCGTTTCTAATTCCTTGCTAGGGGTATTTTCATCCGTGAAAGTTTTAGTTTTTTTGTTCCTTTTACTTTTCAGTATTTCCAGGAGTGGTCCACTCTTTCCGGAAAAGGGGAAAAATCCCATCGGGAAAAGACGCGCGCGCGTGCGTGCGCTTTTAAGGTAGTAGAAGTGAGATGATAGTTAAGTCCTGTTCCATTAGTGTCTTGCTCTTAAAAGTAGCCTGAAGGAAATGGGTAGTTTACTTTCACCTGTGGGGTGAACCCATTATCTCCAGGAAGACTATTCTTTCTGTAAGAGGTCACTGACAGAGTGTTGGGTGAAGTCATTCCTTCTTTTATTAAGAGGATCTTACTGTTTACAAGATTTTGTTTTGGGGGGATAATGCCTGAGAATTGTAACCAGTTTCACTTCATGTGAGTTACAGTTTTCCCGTCAGTATTCTGCATTTAGGTGGGATCAATCTATTCTAGGTAAGGTTCAGGGAATTCTACTCACCAGTATGAGAAAGTTCCCACCCCATTAAAATGACAAAATACTTACTGGAAGTACTAATATATACTACATGTGTGGTCTTTCCTTTAATGATAGTAGAAATTAACAAAGCACAAATATGTAGAAAATTATTTGGTTGGAGAATAAAAGGATAAGAGACTTTAGTTTAATGACCTAACAAATTCCTCAGGAGTTAGGTCCTTAGAAAAGGAAAGTAAGAGAAAATAGGAGAATAATCGGATGGAAGGTGGTTAGACACTGATGAAGAGGTTTGGATCAGGCACCAGCTTGAAGTGATTTAGTTTCTAGGAAAGGATTATTTAGAGCAGTTTCAACCCTGGTGAGACTGCTTTTCCTGGGACTCAGGTGAACACAATTTTGGGAAAATAGCTGGAAAATTCTAAGCATTCATTGCCTTAGAGAGGGAGGTCAGCAACAGGACGTGGTCAAAAGTTGTCCATCGGATATCCCCAAGCATCCTAAACATTACTTTAGTTATTTTTGAAGAAAATCTTTTTTGGTTGTTTGTTTTTTGGTATGGGGGATCGAACTTGGCTCCTTGCACTTGTGAGGCAGGCCATGGAACCACTGAGCTAAATTCCCGGCCAGAAAAATCTTTAATCTTGAAGAGGGATGACATAGGCTAGGTAAATTTAAGGGTAATAAAAATTATTGTTAACTTTTCCTAAATTGTTTTTTTTTTTTTTTTTTTTTTTTGGTACTGGGGATCAAACTCAGGTTCCTGTGCTTGCAAGGCAGGTGGTGGAACCACCGAGCTAAATCCCTGGCCTCTAAATGATTACTCTAATAAAAGATGCAGAATGAAGATCAAACTGTTTTGCTTTTAGTTGCCTATTATGGATCTGTAGGTCCAAAGGAAGAGTTACAGGTTTAGCAAAAACTGCTTTTGAGTCCCTGACTGCTTCAGAATGAAACATAAATCATGGGTGGAGAGAAGTGGTACTTGGGATTGAACCTAGGGTCTTCATACAGATTTACATTCTTAGCTTTTTTTTTTTTTTTTTTTTTTTTTTTGTACCGGGATTGAACTCAGGACCTTGGTGCTTTTTCAAGGCAGGGGCCAGAAACACTGAGCTAAATCCCTGGCCCTATCCCCCTCCCCCCTTTTAAACAAATTCTTGCTAAAATCATTAAATTGACCAAGCTGGGGTAGAACTTGTGATCCTCCTTGTTCTTTGTCCCTATGTATCCCTGTGGTGGCCTTTTGTCTTGTGACAAAAACATGCTTACTGCAACGAAAGGTCATGTGTTGTGTTATGGAATTTATATGAAATATCTATAATAGATAAATGTAGAGTCAGAATGCTTATCCCCAAGAAAAGAAATGGGGAGCAACTGTTTGGCAGTACCAGAGATTGAACTGAGAACATTGCACTTGAAAGACAGACACTGTGCCACTGAACTACATCCTCAGGCCCCGAGAGCAACTATTTAATTCACAAGGAGTTTCCTTTTGGGGTGATGAAAACATTTGGAGTGTAAGACCACCAGGGATCTTAACCAAATGTTCCAAAGAACTACCGATCAGTAACCGCGAGACAACACCTCAGAGGAACCAAACGAACGAGCTGCACCCAAGAATGGTGTCAAACAGACCTTTATTAGTCTGGCCAGACGGCCCCTCCAAGCAACAACTTGGAGAGCGCCCTGAGCCCAGAGTACAAGAGGGTTTTATACATTTCTAGATGGGGTGGAAGCAAGCAAAATTACAGAAGTGAAATGCGGCGGTAGAAGAAAGGAACAACCTACAGTTTGCACGGGATGAGGCTGTGACAAAGTACAGAGCTGTGGTTAATCTCTATAGGAATGCCATTTTTCATGACAAAGTGTAGGGCTATGGTTAATCTTTACGGGAATCATCTATCGCTTCAACCTAGAATGTTAACACTTGGTGTTTGTTCCTGACCATTTTCCTGAGTAAACTCTGCCTTTTTAGTGACCTTGGGCCTTTCTTGTTCTCTCAAGAGGGCGAATTTAACCTTTAACTAAGATGGCGTCCATGCTGGCACTTTACGCCCGACAGGAGCTAGACAGGGAAGATGGTTGTGCACTACTGTGAATGCATTAAGTGTATTTCATTTGAAAATGGTTAATTTTATGTTATGAAAATTCTTTTTTTTTTTTTTTGGTACCAGGGATCGAACTCGGGTCCTTGTGCTTACGAGGCAGGCGGCGGAACCCCTGAGCTAAATCCCCGGCCCCATGTTACGACAATTTCACCATAATTAAATAAAATGAGGTAACACATAAACATCCCTGGAAGCAATCCATTATGTTGAGAAAACCCACTTTTAGCGGAGCCTTCGTTTTTGAGTAAATGGAAATTATTTTAAGTTGTTACTTTTTCCTCAAAGTAAACATAGATTGCATGTTGATACAGAACTGCGTGTACTTAAAATTAGACACTTTATGCATGCGGTAGACACTCAATACATAGCAAAAGCATGTAAAACTGTAAGCAGTCCATTTAAACATGGGAGCTAATTTGTGTTTGCAAGTAATATTGTCCTTGGGAAAAAAATGGGAAAACTGTGATTTGTACATATTTTAAAATCTTTGGAAATAAAAATGATGTTCAGAGATTCCAGGGTCTCTAATGATTATTTTTAAAAATTGAGTTTATTGGTACTTTTGAAGTGTAAGACGTAAGGCCTTACTACCAATCCTAAGAGCTCAATACCACTCCGAAAAGCTCAAAATTACCACTCCAAAGAGTTGGACAGCCACGAGATTCACCTGGGAAGGAACACACTGGACACATTGGAAAGGAAATGGACCTTTATTAGTCTGGCCAGACAGCAATCCCAGAGCCGAGTAGCTCAGAGAGGCAGCAGCTCAGGGGATGAGGTCCTTTTTATAAGAGGGATAAAGGGAGGTTAACATTCAAAGCCTGGAGGCAGGGGTCAAAGACTACTGGTCCACGTACTCATCAATCACACGCTGATGATTAAAAGATGCTTACAGGGGTCTCTAAGGCATTTCGCACAAGCAAGCAGTAAAACATTTAACTTTGGACCTCTGTATATGGCACAGATCTTATCTCATTTTCCAGAACTCTTAAGCATTTGCCCATTAACTCTCATTATTCACAGTTGGGGCTAGAAATTTAAGATCGCAAAGTTATGCAGTAAAGATTACACAAAGTTCTGCAGTCTTACATTCCTAAGCAAAGGTTCAAAGGTAGGTAGGGGTGCAACTACAAAGGGGAGTTGGTGCACAACGACCTCTGGGGCCATTACTCATCCAACATGGAATCAGTTTAGCTCAGTCAGGTCTCACAGAAGTATACAGTACAGTTACATTCATCATTGGGATCTTGTATCTTTACATGACAGACCTTGGTTCTCATTTTTTCCCCATTCTCCTGCCCTCGCTTCACCCCCTTAAACCACCCTCCTCTTTTTTTGAGACAGGGTCTCACTATGTAGTTGAGAATGACCTGGAATTCACTATGTAGTCCAGGCTGGTCTCGAACTCACAGGGATCCTCCTGCCTCAGCCTCGAGTGTTGTGATTACAGGCGTGCGCCACCACACCCAGCCACTGCCCCCCCGCTTTTTTGGTACCGGGGATTGAACTCCGATCCTTGTGTTTGAAAGGCAGGTGGTGGAACCACTGAGCTAAAAATCCCCAGCCCAACCCTCCCCTATTTGCAAAGACTTTGTAAAATGATTATTTATTTGGAAAGGCACACTCCAAACAAATATTTAGAATTACTTCATGAAAATTACGCATCTCTTATTAGTAAAATGTGATGACCTGCATGTGAATATTTTGTTTTAATGTGTTTGG